GCTCTGCTGCAAGTGTAAAGCCGGTCAGTGCCTGCCAACCCGCCACCCCCACTGGCCTGCCACCCCACACCCTTTTTTTTTTTTTTTTCCCGTCTTCCGGACATTTTTTGGGTCCCCGACACAGGTCCGGACTGTCCGGTTCCGGTGATGTCCAGGTGTCTGGACATGTCCGGATCACCGGACAGTCCGGACCGGTCCAGACACTGGTCCGGGAAACAGTCCGGATGTGCCCGGTGTCCGGGTCCGCGGTAGCCATGTTGCTAACGCTAAAACGCTGCGCTAATTCTGAAGACTAACCTCCTGTCTACCAACCTGCCGACTGAGGCTGGTACCCAGCTGATATAGTGCTGGGTCGGCCTCAGTCCTACTGCGGGCCTTCGGGTCTGGACCGTTGATCAGGCCCAACGGTTCAGATCCGATTTCGGAATCTGAAAAGTGGCGCCAAAACTGCGCCGCCGGCCGGTCCTACCGATGGACCTGGTACCTGGCCTAACCGACTAGCCGTTGGGACCCTAAACTGAACCGACAGGTCCTAGGCCTACCTGGACCTAAACTGGGACCGTCGTGACCCGGTAACTAGGCCTGAACCGTGCCTGCTACAGAACCGGGCCCTAACTGGGGCCCGTGTGGTATCAGTATGCCACATCCGCTCTTCCAGTCATTTCTTTTTTCTTTCTTTTTCTATTTGCAACGTCTTCCTATTTATATGTGCCATCCTTGCACAGTGGCCGGGGGGTTACATGGTATTCGCTTGTGGAATTTCCAATTGTTCTGTGAGTGTACGTCATAGGGAGGCGCGCGAAGGTAGGCTCAAGCTAATGCAAAGCGTAGCTCTAGTATCGTCCATGCTAATCTACTCTGTATCATTCCAGTTTTAACGGATGTCCCAAGGAATAGCCTATTGTCATATGTGGTAGCTCAGTTGGTTAGAGCTCTGGAGTAGCATGGGGGAGGTTGTGCGTTCGACTCCAGCCGACCGTCATCCTCTCCACTGTGAGTCTAGTTTGTGTTAAGTTGGCGACTTGGCACCCCAGGTACTTGTCCTCCAGCCCAGCGTGGGCTAGCCGATAGTTGCTGCTCATGGAGTTGATTGTAGAGTGCAGGTGTGTTGTTGTAAAAAGATTGCTGGACTCTTGTCGATGATGGAGACACAGTGAGTCCCTGTTGAGGACTGAGACTGGGGCCAGTTGAGGAGAGGAAAGAAGTGTGATTACCCATTGAGGACCGAAGACTAAAGTGGTTGCCCGTTGAGGACACAAAACTCTGGTTGCCCGTTGAGCCAGAGGGTGCATTCATGATGAGGGTAGGTTGTATTCGGTGAAGACGGTAAGGTGGCTGATTGATGCTGAGAGACTGACCAGAGGGTGCAGGCAGATGGTACGATCTTGACCTGTCGTACAGGTCGGATAAGCACGGATATGATATGTAAGATGTACAATGGTGATGCGGACTTGGTGCACAGATTCATAGCTAAGCGAGCTGGTTGGGATAGCGCAACGTCGCCCTGGCTGTCATGGTTTAGACTTTGGTCTAAGCAGGGAAGGCTGTTAGACCCCTGTTTGTGGTACCTAGATAAAGGGTACCCTAGGTGCACTATTGCGGGTCATCACTTGTTTCGTGGGTCCATTTACGAGGCTTGTGGAGGAGATAGATTCATGCCTAGCTCCCGAGGTACCCATACAACAAGGCTCGTGCGACAATGCCTCAACCCTGGGCTCTGACGGGTTAAGACTTTGGTCTGAGCAGGGAAGCCCATTAAAGCCCTTCTTGTGGTAGTTAGATAAAGGGTACCCTAGGTGCACTGTATTGGGGGACAACTTATTTCTTGGGTCCACTTACAAGGCTTGTGGAGGAAAGAGATTCATGCGTAGCTCCCGAGGTACCCATACAACAAGGCTGGTGCGATAATGCCTCAACCAGGGCTGAAAGGGGACTCTCATTCAGTGTTGTTGCCCCGCAATCGCTGTGTGGTCAGGTCACTCAACCAAGGACTGGTAGAAGGGTGATGGTCCTCAGTGACGTAGGATAGAGGGAGAGGGGGTTCACTAGGGAATATAGAGAGGTGGAAGGGCAGGGTCTAGGACGGATGGGCCCAAGACAATACGATCCAAACAAAAGAAAAAAGGATGCCTGACATTGCCTGTTTCTTTTCTCTTTCCTTTTCTTTTTCTTTCCTTTTTTTTTATTTGAACCATTTCTCGAATTGCAAGGAACATGAATATGGATGAAGCACAG